AAGGTGCTAATTACGTTCCTCTTGACGTAAAGCTGTATTTATTTCAATACCTATACAATAGAGAATATCAATTTTTGCCAAGTCCATCAAATGTACATTTGCATTTGCGTCCGCTTAACTTTTTTCTTCTCCGTATCCTATCAGTTTGAAAAGCAGCAAGCTCTCTTTGCGATATTCAATTCCAAGCGTTGTCGTTTGGGTGAATACAGTGGTCGAAAAACTCACTCTGCTCTGCGGCGAAATGAATCAGTCCTCTTCCGTTAGCCTTGAAAACAGTTGTGATAATTTATTTTTTCCTCTTCACCTGCAATACTATTTTTCCGATCTAACACACGCTTTTCTCGTCGCAGCAGCTGTCCTCAGCTTCGTCGCCTGTCCGCTTACCTGCCTTTTGAACGTAATGGTTATTTTGGCCGTGAAAACCAAACGACGTCTTCAAACTAACTCCACTATGTTTTTGGCATCTTTAGCGCTTACTGATTTAATGCTTGGAGTCGTTGTTCAACCTCTCCATGGAGCTATGACAGTTTTTATGCTGCAGAGAAAAAGATTCTACGAATTTTGCGAAGTAAATCTGGCTTTTAGCACCTCCTTCGTCGTAATTTGGCATGCTGTGATATGTAACTTGGTTTTGATCAGCGGAGAACGATACCTCACAATCAAATACTGTTTCGCACACCACGAAATCCTCACTAAAGCGCAAGTTATAGTTTTATCGGCTGGTGCCTGGATCCCAGGTATTCTTGTTTACTTTTTTATTTTCAGGAGGATTCTGATCCCAGTGGTAGTTTTCGCAGTACCATCGTTGAGTTCAATCATCTGCCTTCAGGTCCTCGTTTATAAGGAAGCTAGACGCCATGAAAAGCGGATCCTTGCCCTTCAAGTTTCTGATGAGGCCAAAGCCAGATTCAAAAGAGAAAAGAAAGCCTTAAAGTTAACAACTTTCACGATAGTGACCATATTGCTCTTTTTTATTCTCCCAATCGCTGTTTTGTACATCACGTGGGTTCTATACGGTGAAAAGTTTTCAAACAGTGAGAAAACTACACTTCGTCATTTTGTGCTTGGATTTGTTGTGTTGCATTCTACTGTTAACCCGATTATATATACATGTCGAAACAGACAATTTCTGGTCGCATTCATTGAATTGCTGTGGAAAAAGGGTTTCCGAGAGGCCGAAGAAATGGCGAGCAATCCTTGTAGCAGATCAAGACGAAATGTTGTGAGACACGAAGCTCGAATTGATGGAACTGAACATCAGTGAGTTCAAGCTGCCAATACAAGTATACCTCGAGAATACCACTTGTAGCTTTCAAATCAGTAACAACACTACAACTGTCACCGCGTGCATGCAACAAATTATTGACAGTCCATCTTTAGAGGCCACAGGTTCCTCGAGCCTCTTTAAACTGAGCCTTCTGTTTCAGCTGTCACCGCATTTATGAAACAAAACATTGACAAACCATCCTTAAAGGCCACAGGTTACTCAAGCTTCCACGATCAGCCCTCTGTGTCAGCAGGGGTGCAGTCACCCTAATTTCACAAGAATTAAACATGTAAACCGAATTCGATTGCGAGCAAAGACGCGACAAACTCTTGCTTGGATTTGATGATGCGTCTGATTGGTTGCTGGGGAATGTGGACTCCTCGCACACTCTCTTGCAGATCTCCCTACTTTGGAAACCGTTATAACAGAACTTCCAGACAAGAATGCTTTGCATAAAATAGAGCAGCTAATGAGGTTTACGATAAATGCTGTAGCATACCGAAGAGTTTGGTTTGTCGTCAGCCTATGCAATTTATTAGAACCTGTAGAATGCAGAGACGAGTTAGGGTCAGGTCGGCGTCTGAGCAGAGCTCCTATGTATGGACCTTCCTGAGTTTCGATCTTAACTGCGTTCCTCGTTGTCTTTCAGATGTTTCCTTATTAGAAGGGATATCAAATTAAAACAGCACAATGACGTTGAAGTATTTTATTTACCAATAGAGACCTTAAGATTGAGGTTTTCACGTTAGCCGTCTGTCCATATTTGGGACTTAAGA